TTATAATCTTTCATTGCTCATCGTCCATTTTACACCAGTTAATATTGATCTTTCTGTTCATTTATTCAATAAATAATCACGTCTCTTCTCTGATTACCATCCGGCACTTGACCGTAAAAAGAAACAAGTTTGTGAGCCATTATAGGCCAGGAGCAACGATCGCAGCAGTAGTATTCTATGATGAATGAAATGAAGGGAAAGCACCGCATCACTCATCCCAAGGTATAAATAATAACCGAATGCTTTTGTCCTTTAAAACAAATTATCGAATTAAAAAGTACCTAAGAATCTGTCACGTGATTAACACGCCGATATCAGTTAGTCCATCATCTATCAGCCATACAATAGGTCATTGAATTATATCGATCAAATAATGAATCGAGCATTCCGACCGAGGTCGCTAGATTTTTCTTCGTTTGGACAATCAAGAACTGTGCTAATCCTATTAAAATGCTCTTGATTTTTTGAATCGCAGGTTAGACGAGTGCACCATGCCCAAGTTATTGGGTGATTGAGTTACCAGAACGGGTTTGAATCAATCACTGGAGATACCGCGATTTATTGAGTGTCACTATGACATCATGTACCAGGAAACTTTGAATTATTACAGTTGTTCGATTTATCACTCAGGATGTAGTGTATTGATTACGATGAATGATACAAACTTGTATTTTCATATAAGTAGAAAGTGAGAGTCTTTACGTGGCATTATAACACACTTTTTACTTCACACAATTCTCGTGTACCTCGAGTTAACAACCGAAGTAGATAAATGAAGCACTAGATTAATCTTTGAACTTGCACTATAGGATGCACCTTAATACTGCTGTTACTACCAGAAATAACAATAGTTACTATATAAATGGTAGATTTCGATTATGAAATGCATTATTATGCAATCGGTTTTCAGGGAGCGATAAAGGCTAATCAAAGGGGTGCCAAAGAACTAAAAAGAGTTAGGTTACGACAAAGGGATTATAATTGATTATGTGAGCAGCAGGGTGACATACAGTGACTGAAACCGCGTGTACCCCTTTAAGGTGTCCGAAATGCCAGCTAAATTAGTCTGAAGTTTAAACATTCCATGATAGGAAGACTGTATTGGGTTTCCCAATTCCAAAAGCGCAGTGTTGCAGTCGGAAGTTGTGGAAACGATCTTTTTAAAGGATATCAGTGAATTCGTATCATCTGGTAATCAGGGTTTCTATTTCGCTAAAAAGAAATATTTACAATACTTATTAATCAGGCCTGTTCCCCTTCAGTTAATCAGTATAATAAAAACATTTCTCAGGTACCATCGACAAAACAAATTGAAATAAACAAATAAAATTGCTGATAACTACAAGTAAAGTTATGGTTCAATGAATGATTCTAGAAAATGGATATCTGATAAGCGTCGAGTACAGCAAAAACGGCCAAGTGCTGTAGAACAAACGCGTTCTTAAATTATCCATTGCACAATCACCGAAAATCGACTCTGGTGTCAAATATGCTGTAGTAAGATACATCTAAACTATTGAATTCTCGCCTTTTTCGAGGTTTGTGCCGTTGGGTGAAATTATTCTTTGAAATACAGGGAAAGATATTGTGTCATACACACATATATTTATAAGCAAAGAATATTAAAAGTTCTACGATGAAGCAAACAAATAACGTTAACCACCATAACTGCCTGTCTTCCATCCCACTATTTTGTGTAGCAATCCGTTCGTTCTCTGTTATTCTTGTTGTTACGTTGACGTCACGCTTGTTTGCAGACCGTATCCAATGAAGTGGAGGTATATACACACATATATATATATCACTTGTCTGATGCAAGACTGTGTCAAACAAATCGCGGTACAATAATCTTTATAAAAAGAAACCAGATTCACGATTTGCTCGCGAGCGCAATACGACCAGCCAGGGCAGGTGCATTTTCTTGAGGAATTAACAATTGAAGCGTTCGGCTTGCCAAAGCCTGACCCACAAGGCATCGGGGCGTTGTGGGAAAACAGCAATACACTGGGGATCAGTGTCCAGTTCATCAGAGTATACGCCTCTTGGACTGGGTCAAACATTCATGGCATCCAATACACCTCCTTACAAAATCGAGCCGGCGACTATCACTATTACTACCATGACCAGGTGTGGGTGGGTGTGATTCGTACATCTCTTCTTGATTGTTTTGAAATCAGGGATTTTAGCCAACTCCTCCTTGTAAACTACCAGTGGTTCGCTGATGCGGTTCTGGCCGATGTTTTGGCTTTCCATCCTCCCACTGCGTGGAGACAGTGAGCATAGCTTCCTCAGTAGAGGTTTTTTAAGATGCTTTATTGTATTGAAGTATTTCGATAGGTGGAAGGGAAGGATGATCAGCTGCAAAGCGAGACACGCATCCGCGATCATACTGAGGCTTTCGAAAGCTCTACAGGACATAGGCAGAACATTTAGAACATGAATCACTAAAGATTTGCAAACTTCAGGAATAGACAAAAACAAACGATGAAATGCTATAAAACAATACACTGAATTGGTTATAAGTAATAAAAAGTTTTATATCAAATTGTACATTTCGATGGGCATCACCGTGGGTGAGCCGTAACCATTTGCAGATATGACTTTGCTCTCTCGAATTTGGTTTCAATGGTTTCATCAGGGAGTTGTTCAGGCTAGTTCAGCTTTGGCCGGCCTGTTATTAGAAGAACAGGAACGAACCATGAAACATCCTACCGTGGACAAGGATGCGATTGGAGGAGCTCAGTCGAATGGTCTTTCATTTGATCGGAAAAATATGGACACTTTTTGGGAAGACAAGCTTGTTCGAGCACATCGCACGGTATCGAGAAAACTGGGGTCCAGTGACAATAAGCAGAATTCCGTTTCCGCAATTCGTAATTCAGATGATGCCGAGGATGTGATTGAACAGATTGGGAATAGTCGGGAATTCGGTCGTCTTATTGATCAACCGTGGCGTGGAGCAGAAGCCTATCATTTTCTCTTGTTGGCCCAAAAACAACTGTATTCCGGTGCTCTGGATCATGCGTTGCGTACTGCACAATTGCTACGAGATTACGAGGATATTTTGGATCCACGGGTAACCTATTCTTTGATCGGTAAGAAGAGCCGCTGTTTTAAAGTTACAACTGTGTTTTATAATCTGTTATGGTCTCTGCTAAAGTCTATTCCAGAGAGTCAGAAATCGGCAAGGTTTAGGGAATTTAGTTGACTTTTGGCATCTGCACTATGCTGTATAAATCCAGAGCGATGTAGTCAAAATGGTAAGCTGCCTTTGAAAGACTGATTATTGTCATCAAACTATATTTTTCATCGTCTGAAAAACTATTTTTGCTGCTAAATAAAATCTCTTCAGTGGGTAACGCATTTTACCAGGCGATTGAAGATCAGACCAAGTCTTTTACATCATGAACAAATTCGCGAGGTTACCGTACAGGCTGCCCTAATCAAACCAACTGCAAAGGCATCCTCGCATATTCAGTGATAATTTTCGAGTATGACTAACCTTAAATGAGGATTAGATTTTCGTCATCTGTCTTCTAACACCGGTTTAAATGTCAGTAGTAGCGAGTAGAGTACATGATACTTTCCATATTCACCTGGCAAAACTGTCTGCGTTTGCTCAACCGGAATGTATTGCTTCCTGTCGGGGATCGAAAGCCTAACTCTTGCGGAAGGTCTTTCTGTTCCTGCAATGCTAATCACCTCACGCACACACACACACACACACCAAAGCTGATCAGAATCGAAAATTCATGTTTGTTCACACGTCGTCGACATCATCAGTACATTTGTCCCGAACGTAGTAACCATGTCAGACACAGTTCTCTCTCGGTCAACCACATCGGAAATCTATCCATCAAATCAGGTCTTTCATGTAAAACTTTGGGTTTGAGGATAACCACTACGGATGAGCTCGAATTATCACATGAATTATGTCTGGGGCTGCCTGAGTGTATTATGAACTGAGTCAGTAGAAAATTTTCCCCGAAAGATGAAATTGAAAGGATAGTCGGTCAAGTCAAAATCGCATGTTCTACACCATCCCTCACAAGTAAATGTGAGTGAAATGTAGAATGAGTACATCACACGCCTTCGAACGATTGGTTCTCCGACAACCAAGACGGAAAGAAACTCGAACAGGAAATTACAGAAGGGTAGTGGGCAGAAGTTTCTGCGTTCTTTCTGTCCATGAGCTATCAGATCCAATCCCAGTTAGGAAGATGGGTTCACTCCGCTGATGACACCCAATCCAAATCAAAACAGCTTTACACTGCTTCCTAGATGTTTGCTTTACGCCTTATCTGTTCTGTACACGACAAGATTCACCGTAAAAATAACAAGCATTCGCAATAATATCTCAACCTTCTTGATATGCTTCCTCTCTTTGTTTACAAATTGGAATCCAGGGGGAGGCTTACGTCTCGTGTTTATAGAATTTGATTAGTACAGTGCATTTCGGTGGGTGAAAACACGACAATGACTTTTTACGTGTTTGCATGACTACAGATTGTTATTGGAATCCAACGAGATATGAAGAATGGTAAACTTGGAAAAAGGAAAATGAGCGGATGAAAGTGAGTGCATCCATCATTCAGATCCGAATCTCGACCAGACGGCTGTCTGATCGGTTAATGCAATTAGATACCGTATTGTTCAACAATGCCCCCCTTACGAGCCGTTGTTTATAAGACGAGGGGGTCCCACTGTGGGACAACAAATGGTTGGCTGCATAACCATAACGGGTGGCTAGTAAAGCCACAGCCGAATCATAATTTAAAAGTCTCGATTCTGCTCAGTCTTTCTGTGATGGTTCCGAATATCCTGTGTTGGGTTACATGTCTCTCTAGTTGTTGAGTGGTCTGTGTTATGCATGTATGCGACGAAAGGGCAAGAAAGGGCATAGTTAACGGTTAAACAAACTTAAACTGAATGTGTGCACGTACGTTTCGAACCCGGTCAGCAGTTGTGTTCGTAAAGTTTCATTCGATCTTTCGCCCAATCCCGGAAAGTTATCTTTCGAATTCACTTGCTAACAGTAAAGCAGCCTCAAAGCCTATGCGTAGGTTCAATCGATTGAGAATACAACGAATGCACTCGGAAGGTATCCTATGACATTTGTTGGGAGTCAGCCGGTCCTGATTCACTGAGTTTGAGTTCTGGACTTACGTGCGACACGGTTTATTTTTTTTCAGGTACGGAATAGGATAGCTATTTCGTTACAGATTTCCATGAATCGGATTGCTTTCCGTCCTCCTGTCGTTTTAGGTCGATATAAGTTTATTGATCAGAATCACGTGATTAAAATGGTAGATGCTGCACTAATGGGAAAGATAATTTCCGCGTTATTACCATTGGTTTTCTCACTCTTAACCTGTTGCGTTTGTATTCGTAAAAACTTTTTGTTGTGTTTCATTGCAAAGTTGATACATCCGTGCCAAACAGCTGCTGAAGACTTCCATTTATGATATAATAATAATAGTAGTAATGTTAATATTTCTCGCTCAAATGAGTCCAGACTGTGCGCCAAGCAAATGGAAATACAAATATTGGTGCAACGAAGTAATCCGTGTGTAAGTTCTTACTGAGTGGATTACTGCCCGATTGCCCGGACAAAATCAGGTGAAATTTTTGCGAGATTTACAGCCAAGTCTTTCTTTGATAAAAATCTAACCCGCAGGGCAGCGAGATGGTGCTTAAAAATCGCAATCCATTGAGGGCCGGTGTCCGATTCATCGGATCATACGCCTGTTGGGTGGAGTCATTTGTCCAAGGTGACCAATAAACCTCGATGCCCAATTTAGTCAGTGGCCACTGCAAAACGAGGCAGGTGGGGATGTTTGCGGTTCGTATAACTCCTCTTGGTTGATTTGGAACAATGGTTTTATTCGCACACACATAGAGATGAAATGTCCGTGGTTCATCGGTCAGATATTGGCTTTTTGTTTCGTCACTTTGGTAAAGAAACACCTCCACCACGAGAAGGCTGTGAGCAGGGCTTTCTAAACAGACGTTACTTCAGACGCTTGATCATAGAGGATCTTTTGGAGAAGTGTTACGGAAGGGGGATCAGTCAGAAATCTATGCAGCTACCACTGACCATACTGAGGCTTCTGGAGGTCATTTATGATGACAGGAAGTAAATAATATAATTCAATATGGTCCAACCGCATCCTTTTCCGTGGTAGTTTATTCCCCGTTTAAATAAAAAAAATATTGACTATTTCAAGATAGAATGCAAATCTTATACATAGCACCTAAGTTTGTTTGCACAAAGTATTTATGTTAGCCAATTATGTGGAGTGTGTGTTAGTGTCGACTTGAATAGTTCGGAAGTCTTCAAAGGTGTAATGCGTTTGAGCGATCTTGAGAACAAGGGTTACTTAAGCCAATTTGGTCTATTTTAAATAGGACCAGAGCTCTGGAGGTATTAGCATAAGTAAATCAACCTCTTCTCTTGATCCCATATTTCGACATCCTTGCGTGTTAATAGCAATGAAAGCACATATCACACACGAACGTACTCATAAAATACCCGGATCTCCGATCATCTAATAACCTATTGATCTATAAATGCACTTGCTTGATACGAAAAATTAAAGTAAAAACAGAATTTTTGCTCCAATTCCAAATTGTTACAATGCGTTCATGGAAAATCGTCGTAATTTTGGTTTTCGGGTGGAGGTTTATTCTACAAGCACTTGGGCCTTTTCTATAAAAGTTAAAGTGAGTATTGTTTTCAAAATGTGTATAAGTTTCGGATTGTCCATATAATAAACAAACTTTCAGTCTGCGTGCATCAATTGATTCGTGTGACTGGGCTATGAACTGGCTCCCTGTAATTGAAATACACCGATTTTAAAGCTGTATGTGGATGACGCAACGAAGTTGTATGTCAACACAGCTTTGAGAAGCAGAGCAACGATCCATCTCCACGGATCTCATCAAATATCTTACAAAACGCAAATTTATCATTGCTGTCAGCCGGTCAATGTATTTACTTTTGATGTTGTTGGGTTCTCCGAGCTAGAAGTGTCGTTCACTTTTCGTAGCCCGATTCGGCAACGTCGTCAGTGTGTTTTCGAGGAAGTATCAGTCCTCAGTGTGACCGAGATTTAGTAGTTCTGTCTAGAGTTTTTAATTGGCTGTTTTCATCCCTTCAGTCTTAGTGGTCAGTTGCTACTGTTTACTATAATTTGATTGACTGGTTTGTTGTTCTAGTCCCTCTCTCTTTGTTCGTCGATCGATTCGCCCTATTGCACCAACCCCAAGCCGGTCTCAAACAGGAGAGAACCGGTTCTGAATCAGTTCTGATTGGGGCAGTTCTGAGTCACCAATGCATCCTTAAAGAGTCAAATAGAATAATATGCTTCGACATATTATCGAACTGGTATCATGGTTCCTCATCCCATCAACTTTGCATTTTTCGGTTCTAAAATGTGAGTCTCGGAATCCTTATGAACTGAAATTTGCGACTTCCGCTGGTATCTTTTGACCGCCAATGTGTGTTCTTGTAATCGAGCCATCAGTTTCCCACATAGTATTTCTCATAGCCTCGACATTATTTTTAATATGACATTTAAGAACCTTTCTGTTGGTAGTTGAACTTTTAATCCTGGTAGGATAGCTTTTACTGTGACCATTGTCTTATGTGCAACCAAACTTCCTGATGGTTGTAATAATCTGGTTGCCGTTTCCGAGAGTCATTGCATGTGTGACAACCTTGTCTTTGTTATCTTTGATTGTTGTTCTGATTACCTGGCTTGTCCCGTGATTTTGATTATCCTCGTCTGCTTTCGCGTCGCTTGTAGACGGCGTAGGAAGAAAATTCGTACCTTGAAAGATATCAGAACAACCACTCCCTGACGCACAAGAAAAGCTGCGTACGTACACTTCAGACGAGTAAAAACGTACTACTTACTACACCTGGTTACGAAGCATCTGCAAACAGCACTTCCTGCTCAAAGTAACCACCAACACCACCATCCGATACGCGAATTACAATCATTCCATATTATATCTTACTCATTTTTGCTAAGGATACTAGCTTTAGGAGTCTGTGTCTGTATGGATGCTGAAAGAAGTTGTTGTAGAATCTATCCTTTATTTTTACTGCTCAGAGTTGAGTATGATATTGCAATTTTCTTTCCCCAATTGACCCTGAAACATAGCTCTCTGTGCCTGCCTGGGTAAAGCATTTGCCACATGTTCGAAAGCATTTATCAAACTGGAAAATCTGCCAGACATCTCTCCGGAAGAACGCATTGCATTTGAAAACCTGGCTGTGGAAATATTTACCAGGTAAGCTTAGTTATTATTTTCGAAAGCAATGCATTAGAATGATTGCATTTGATGTTTTCATGTGATATTGAAGTACTCGTTGGTATGACTAAAATTTGTAGTCGAGACTAAATGACTACGGGTCGTGGAAACAGTATTGCGGGTTTTGATTGCAGGATTGTGGGTCGAGGCTAAAGCATGATGAGTTTACGCCAAAGGATTACAGGTCGAGGCTAAATGAAAGCGGGATTTGGCTTAAGCTTGGTTGGAAAAGGTGCGAGATGCTCTCTGAATCAAGTCAGCGTTTTGAGTAACCAAAATGAACCAAACCGACAAATTATGGTCCCGTCGGGATCGAGTGATATCCCAAAAGCTGTGGTCATAAACAGATATTTATCGCCATATTGTGCAGTGGTTCAGCACCCACACACATTGTCTTTTTAAACTGGTTCGCATTTTCATCGGGAAGATGATGTTTTGAGTTTAGCATTATGTCTGATCATTAAATAACCTGATTCGGTTGCTCAAGGCCTCGATCATTTCTACGGCTCAGATATCAAAATGAGACTAGTAGAGTAGAGCATTCCTGAAGTCAGTTCATTTCAACTGGAGGGGGTTTAGACAGACCCAGTCCAATCGTTGACGTGTGACGACCGAAGCACCAATCATCTTGTGGGATTCCCGTGGAATGTGATTGGTCAGATTCACCCGAAATTGAAAAAGTATAGTTGCAGTGATCGTGAACAACGTCCCCAGCACGCATACCGGTTGACCTAAGATAACTTGACGGTATCATTCTACTTCATTAGCTCAAAAAATGCTTTACAGTCAGTCATACATTGATTCTAACCTGGTACAGGCAATAATGCCAGCAGACCGTTACAACCAAATGTTTGAAGTACTCTGAATCAGCCAATGGTCTTAGCTATCACTATCACGCGCTTGTCAGCTCACGTTCGCTAAGAGAATGTTTAGTTCAATCGGGGACAGCCAAACTTGGACCCCAGAGAGGGGGCTTCAGTCAAAGTACAGTTCATCCCGACACTATACAGGTTTTTAACACACCATTTCGACAGTACTAGCAGCGCGATCTGTAGAGTGAAACAGCTAATTGTCTTGTTCAGAGATTCCAATTCTTTCTCATAATGATTGCGAAATATGATGTAGACAGTTCATAAATTGTGGTTTGTCTTAATTACCCAAGGATTCGATTGCCGACAGATGCTGAACCATATATATTAACATACTTATCAATGGCTTGCTAGCAAGCTTGGTACCAACGCAACACCGAGGTCACCAGAAAATGGAATGAATGGGATAGAAAACAGAGTGAAATTGAGGTCAAATAATGACAGTGAACAACTATTTTTGGCAATTTCATTGTACACATTTTGATATTTTTTTGTTCTAGTTTATCGTTTCTCTTTAGGAGGCACGGGTTTTGAACAGGCAGACCTTACAGCATTCAAGCCATTAACTTCTGTTCTAGGCCACATCTCTTGGCGTCTCTAACCATAGGCAATGCTTAACCCTTGGGCCCCATACCACGTTTCAATAAAGCTATATTGGTGTTTTCAGTTTCTAGCTGATTTATTGAGTTCTTTAATATCGTAATCGTTCCCAAAACAGTATAGGACATAAGTTTCGTTTCACAATTGATGGTAAATTCCACACAAGCGCTCATTTCGAACTGTCTGGTATTCAATTTTAGGAAATGGTTTAACTCTGCTACCTGGGCGGGAGAATAGTGATTTCGGAAAGTATCAAAAGTTCTCGTGATTCAGATCAAAATGCGCGTATGTAGGTGATTTTGAGATTTTCATTTCACCGTCAAAAGTCTTTGCACCAGTGATCTGCAGCCCATCAGTCAGATTCAGGCGAGACACACTTTGCTGCTGCGTATTTGAATGATGTATAGTTGTGGTGATTTCGCCAAATCAACTGTTGGAATATGGTTTCGCCATTTCTGTATGATTATCATTCACTGTAGTGCAGTTGCAGCTACTCACGTCCCATCTAACTCTTTATAAACTTCTTCCTTCATAAACTGAAACTGGAAAAATGTCCCATCATGGTGTGTGAATATCATCTAAACACATATTTATCTATAAAGAGTACTATATGAATGACCAGACAAAATTTCCCAGATGCACACAACCGGTTTTGCGGTCCTTGCCGCTCGTTATGTATTTGCGTCCGGTAATATTCTGTCTGACGTGTACTTATGGAAAACTTTGTCCAGTCATTCACATACTACTCACTATAAAACCACTGGGAATCGACCCTAGCGTCGAGTTGACTGAGGATAGACGAATCTAACCCACAACGCGCCGGATATAGAATCATCGCAATGATTCTATGAGACTTGTTCGTCTCAAATCCACTCCCCGAGCGGCAAATGAGATTTGCATTGCACAACGTATGTATTCTTTTCTGTGGAAGGATCCTCGGTGACGTAACCCCGATACCATCTGGTCTTTCTCAGAGCCAATTGAAACCAACTCAACGAAATCTTTCCTCAGTTCGAACGAATGATAAAGGAAACCAACCAGCGTCCTCGTTCACTTGTAGAATAATGAGTACAACGCTGTCCAATTTTTCACGATTTCTATTGGAGAAGATTCATAAAAGTACTTTTCCGTGTTAGGTCACATCCATACTTGTTTCGACTTTTTTAGGTCAATGTGAGTGGGAACCGTAAAGCAATTATCGTGGCGCCCACACACTAGTTAGTGTCATGTTAATACAAGTGAATATGCTGGTATCATCAACATTTGATTAAACAACTTCCGTATGGCAGATGCTAACAAGTTGTATTTCCGGTGAGCCAACTCGTGACAGATAACTATTTGTTTGTGCCTCTCATATGTAGTCCTAGGAAGTAACACGTTCTCGTTAGCTCCGACAGAAACACTCTAAAAATGGACCATTCATCCAGTAATATAGTTCCCGAGATAACGCTTGCTCCACAATTCAGCATACGCTCCTGCTGAATACGCATTCGGTGGATAGTTGTGGACCAATCATACATCTAATTTTAGAACCTCAAAACCCGCAATGAGAACTGAAAATATGGATGAAGAAAGAATTTAACTGTGATTATTTGAATCAACGGCAGATTTAGTCAGTAGGTCACAGACTGGGAAGAATTTTATCTTGTATTCACACACTGATTGGCTATCGAAAATAACGTTGTGTGACAAATTTGAATCAGTGTTCATGCAATTCGATTATGCGAATCTCGGGAGCCTCGTTGGGTTTTGAATTTATGCATAGACGTCACTTGTGCGACCTCGTCGATCAGCTGGTGTAGCATACCATGCACAGAGCTATGCGAGGTGTCCATACGTCGGCTCAACTTCTCCCCCCTCCCCCTTTTGTGATCATAATTGAATTATATGAAAACCACAATAGATGGATACAGGACAGCTACTGCATGTGGTAATCATATAGACAAATAACTAATCAAAAATCCCTTTTTCTCATTATTCTCATTCAAAAAAAAATCGCGTTCCGGGCAGGTATCAGCCAATCAATGAGCAACGAAAAGGTGACTCGGCGGAAATGGACTCAATGCTTGAAAGGTGAGTAGTTATTCGATCGTGAGACTGATGTTTGGGTGTGTTTTTAAAGTGATATTCGAAGCATTTGTTTACTCGTCGGAATGTAGAAATGATTATCGATGAAATTTGACGATTTAGCAATGTTGTAGGCATAACAAAGGGAAAACTGAAAGCATGTATTATATGAGCTAGATCGGTCTTAAGACTATCATTCACTATCTACCGGAATACCTACCATTTCACAACGCTTCGTGGTAATACAGTAGATAGTATAGCTCAAGGAGGAAGCATTAAGATAGGTAAACAGCAGGATTTTTAACTTCTGGTAGAGCTGTTTTTCATTCCTTTGTCTCATACTATGTTCGACTGTCACTCAGCTGTATTCTAAACCCAAATGCGGCTACAACGTATAGGTATTAAAGACCATACTACAGTTCTGGATGGGTGGGGAGGTCTTTACGCTTTGGGCAGGAGAATCAAAAGAGGAACAAGGAGCAACAAGGTTTGAAAAGAATATGCGAGCACGGAAGCTGTTCTTTCATCAACTTCAACAAACCAATGAGTGAGCATGTGACCCAGGTCACATTTATGCCAAATTGTCTCTTTCTCTCTCTCTCTCTCACACACACACACACGTTCTCATTTACCTGGAATCAGTACTGCATCAAATGGCCTAATCCTACTGCACGATCAATATAGAACTAATCACTGATCACCGCTGACAAATTCAGATTCTACGCGGTGTATTTCTGCTAGACGCATATCCGTAAAAACAGGGCGAGTAGATTTGCCCCGTTCATTCGTTCAGCCTCCGTTCGCTATATTAAATCTACAGTTCAATCCTTGGATTCATTTACTAAATAAAAAAGTAAATAAGGGGATTGGTTATAACTCCATCAGATTTGTTGTCTTTCTACGCAAATATGAAACCTCGACAAAATTAGCAAGCTCCGCCCCCCCCCCCCCCCATTACACTGATTTTTGTACAGTTGGATTGCAAACGAAAAACCCACGAATGAATCTTCCCGAACTGTGAACAGAATGTGTATTCATGAATGAATCCCACAGAGAAATATAGTGAACTGAACTTCACCGATCGCTAGAATTATCAGTTACGACACGGACTAATGCTCAATGTACTGTAATGAAGTTTTTCCTATTGACAAGATCGCCAATTAGTTTAACCAATGAGATGCTTAAAGTTGAACGCTCGAGACCAATCTGATAATCACAAGACTTATATCAGTTCAGAATAATCCATATTCCCGGGCTTGATGAGATTTCACTACTTACAACACGCGTTATTTCCAACAAGCAGTAAGTAACGAGTTAGCTGATTTCCGGAAACGCGCGTAAAATTGTAGCAGGTAGAGTTAGACGAAATGTTACGCCATCATTAGACACGGAAGGGTATCACCGCTGGTGCTGCACAGTCATCTGTTATTGTTGCCTTATCACAGCCGATTGATCTGTTATTAACACCATACAACCTCTGCTGAGATTGTCTGTCTGTCTGATCCACCTAGTCGGGCTCATGATTCACCAACACTGAAACTTTGTCCCAAGATAACAGTCACTCTTATTTCACTCAGATCACATTGGTCAGAACTTTCGTGAATACGTGGATCGACGCCAGTACGCATATCCCAAGTTAATACTCCATCACCCAGGTTGCCTGTAACGGAGTCTGCTCGTGCATTGTCCACAGAAACCTAGCATTAAAACACTTCGGATATCAGACTCATTCATTTGGGAACCATACAAAGCGGTTAAGTTACCGCACATTCTTAGAGATTTGCATGATTTCACAAGTGATTAACGACCCCCGAACATGAGTCAAAACGGTCATATTACAGTTAGTAATATAGCTGTTTACCTCAAATATTGTTGAACTTGATCTCGCCTGGACATTTCCGGAATACTATTATTGCTAGGAAACGCACCGTGGTTCTCGCTATCTGTATCCCTATATCTAGCTAGATAATAACCACTGTTCAATTATTGACCGTTTGATCCGGACACGCTTGTTGAACGCATCGTATCAGTTTATTTTGCGTTTTTAATGCAAGAAGCCATTGACGCGAATTTCTCGCCTGTTATTCGATGATGTTCTCGATGCTCAAAAAATATACATTGGAACAACTCTTTTTGTTATTTTCACAGCGAGACAAAAATCCCGATTTGCGTAGTGACGGGTCAACCGGTTACCGATTATCAATTCTGGATGTGTCCCACGTGCCGGCATAGCGCGTACGAACAGGAGATCGCCCGATTGCGCAACTGTCCACTATGCCACTTTCCGGTGCAGTAAATTCAATGACTGGATAAATCAACCGCAAAATTGCACACGCACACACACTAACTGTAGCTCAGAGGCCTTCACATGAACAAGTACGAAGTCTTGCACGATTTGTGATTACAAAATTGACCTGCAGACAAAACTGGTTACCATCAAATGCTCAAACTAAAGGTTTACCAGACATACAACTTTTAAAACACCACGGAAATTTATTATGCAAATTCCGACAGAAAAACTTGTGGCTCATACACCATACGGGCATATATTTGCACAATTAGTCGATTCAGTGCAGTTTATGCAGCCGAATAACGTTATTTTACATACTCTAGGTTGGACTAATATTCTTTATTAGTCTAATGGAAAAATATGACTAGTCGAACGAATAAACCAGGCAGACAAAAATATCAGATAGCTGTAAACTAGTATCGTTCACAACGCCTAACTACTCCACATGCCTGCGTTTCGGGAGCTTCATCTGACCGAAGGAACCCAATTAACAGGGCAAGATTTTCATCCGATCGCAGCACAGGGCTCTTCATCTGATTCGATTTGTTTCAGTCTGAGCTGAATCAGGCTAACGCATATGGGCAATCTGCATGACCGGTAAAAACTGTGCGAATGACTTTTCTCAAGTGACGGTAAGGCGTGACCGAAACAATCGTGTGGGAAGTTCTATGGACCTGTCACGCAAAGCCTTCGGTTCAGTATATTGTCCGCTGGTGCGTTGATTATCGACCCGCTGTTCGGGATTGGTCCTTAATCTCATGCACCGAATGAGACAAACGGAACGTGAACGGGGTAGCACCTTATTCGCTGGGCGCTGTCTAGCATCTTCACTAAATCTTGACATTTTCACTGTTCTCATCGATCTGAAACCGGGCTTCGACTCAGTCGATCCCTCTAAACTCTGGCGCTGCATTTCACTGTAAGATGTGTCAGAGAAGTTTGTTTCAACATTACCGTCCCTATATACTAATAACCGAAGTCGAGTCCGAGGTTACGGCATTTTTTCGCCCGAGTTCCCTACGGAAAGCGGTGTTCGGCAGGGTTCCCTCTCCTTTTCTGTTTAACGTTGTTATATATTTGATTATGCAAACAGCCTTATCCTCGTGTGACGATAGCAGCATCAATTTGCTCTCAGATAGCGAACTGTTTACCCTGGTGTACGCAGACGACATTGTACTACTAAATGAAAATCCAGGTAAGTTGCAAGCTCTTATGGACAGTTTGCATGCTCCTGTAGCCATGATTGTTATGCGTTTTGTACCTTCAAAGTGTAAAATGTTGCTACAAGACAGGGTTGGTCCAGACCCAACCTCACTCTAACTGGAGAAGTAATAGATCAAGTGGACAAGTTTTGTCATGTGGGCGGCTATATCTCTCACCCAGAGAACATACCACGGATGAAAAGTCAGTTCACATACAGAAGACCCGGTTGACATTTGCCAACTTGAAACATCTGAGGCGCCGCCGCGACATCCGGCTGTCTGTGAAGGGTTGAGTGTATGCTGCAGCGGATTAGGGTCCAATCATGGATCGATTTTATCGATATATGTGTACACATGCATGTATCATGAGCAACGGCATTATTACTGTGAACTGGAAACTTTGACTTCACCGATCGTTTGTGCACAAATTACGGGTTGGAGTTCGATCTTGCTGGCAGAACATACGAATTTTACTGCTAATCCATGGCAAAAATTGCCAATCAGTAGTATCGGGCCAAGACAATGAATTTCGCCATAAAAAAGCCTCACCACTTGGTACATTTCTACTTCCTCCAGTGATTAAAAAAGAAAAGATGAAATCGATATCAACAAGACACACCATCCATATATTTGATCTATCTTTTTTTCTCTCAGTCGAACAAAAAGAGAGAAAAAATGGGTTTCGTAGTCAGTGTGTACACAGTCAGATATATGCTTGGCCGAGGACAGAACACCATTATAGAAATGCTCATGCATGAGTGAATAGGATAAAAAAAGACCTGCACATGCACAAACATCCCGGGGGGAGAGAGAGGAGACTGTGAAAATGATTACTTATAGGTTGTAAAGGTTCGACGCTCACTCCCGGTCAGGTACTGACGAGAAATAGTCGTGCACAAGTGTCAATAACATCGATTGTTGTTTCGTGGATAGGAACAATTGGCCGATTGCTTCATTCACACCCCAAAGAATAGGGCTCTAACCAGATACCTATCGGAATAATTGGTTCAGTCAATAGGGCGTATTTGATAGAGATACAAAGAACACCCACAAAATCAGGTGCGTGACCCCGGAAGAGAGGGAAAAACACGGTGGCAGGGGGGGATCGGACCGCAAAGATGCACCACAAGGTGGAGGAAAAATAGGCACGTAAAACACGATAGACATCAAGGAATGGGTCTGTGCGCGTGCAAGAAAGAATAAAAATCGGATAGCAGACAATATGGGAGGCATTGCACACTGATCAATCGTGCGACAATGTGACTCTTAGTCTAGGACAATTGGATCGGAACAATCAACCTGCGAAGATGTCATATTGCTGTTTCTCCTATTCGAGTTGCCGGTGTTATTGGTGTCAGTGGTGACGATGCTCGTGGTAGTTCTATGCTGATACGATTGTGTCGGCCGAGTGAATGGATAAAACATCCCGGGGCGGAATGGAGGTTCCGCTGAAAGACTACGAGTGGATGATATGCATACTGTTGAGGATAGGAGACTATTACCAGACGGATTGGCAAAAGATGGACACATGAAACGCGATGTCATGGCCTCTTGCCGATAAACGGCAGTCTGAACTCCACTCGGACCGACGTTGCACCGCTGTGTCACTGTGAGAGAGCGCGTCTCTTGTACAACCGGATAAACATTAGCAATACGTGGCTGGAATCCCGGTCTGAATGGACGGAAACGTGGGAGATCATTGAGGACGCTTGTGAGGATAATCGGACTTTTACGAGGAATAGGATTTGGTGAAGGAGCAGAAACTGGAACAATAGCGCAACTGTCGGGGCTAATATGTACATCATCGTCATCATCACTCAAATGGATGACCGGTTCTGCGAGGTCGACACCTGAGATTGCACCTGTTCTGTCAATTGGAGATGGATTCGATTGATGTGAAACTAACTGATGATCGGGAACGATGGTGCACGATTCGCCAGTCGAGTCACTGGCAGTGGATGACACAGGACTTGATTGTGGCTCGTTCACCTGAGGAGTTGATTCGGTTTGATTCGGTTCGTCCGAATCAGAACTGAGGGACACTACCTCATAATCGGATGATTTGCCAGACTCGGAATCCGAGGCACTATCCGAATCCACTCGGGATCGCTTTGTAATGTGGTCTGAACCACTGGTATCGGAACTACACCGCTTCATGGACTTGTCGTTTTGCATCGTTTCATTCAGCCCGGGTTGCTCACATTGTTGCAGTTGTACAAATTTGTCAAAGACCTGATTGGGTTTTTCCAAGCAAGAGGGAAGTAGAAATCAGAGATGATGGAAATGAATCGATGAAATCGGCCACTTTCTCATTGAGACACGAACTCCTATCATGTTTCTAAGGATCGCACCATTTCGGACGCTAGTGAGGTGGATCAACTGATGAGTTACTGAGTGTAACTCATCATAAATTAAAATAATCATACGAAGTACAGAAGAAACAATAGCAACATTGTTCGCTTCTACTTTCAGAGCCTTGTTTTGTAATGCGATGTCCTAAGCATGATAACACTGAAATACATTCCCACTGCACATAATAACATACGACAACAGCAAAAATTGCATTTCTTTCTTAATTATTGAATTAAACGTTATAATTAATTAATTAATTAATTATAATTAATTTTGAGGAAACGGACCGGAATCAGTCAACGGCTACGAGATGGTGAAATAGGACAGATGAATGATGGTGATGAGATTCGAACTCATGGCCTTCAAGCCGCAGTCAAAATGATATTCAGCGTTTGACCTCCACTGCCCATATTTTATTAAAGGATCACATTTTTCGTCAAGCCTGATTCATGACTTAAGAGGTGATAATAACTTTCACTGATTGTAGAAAAATTTATGTGAAATCTAAGTGTTATTATTATTACTTCTTGGACTTGACCGAAGAATACTATTTATGGTCGAGGAGTGTTCAATTGGTAAACAACAGATGTTTTCATCACACGCATCTCGCTTCCCAAAGATCAAACATACCAAAAATCGAAACTCACAGAATTCAATTTGGCTTCGCCCAAATGTCGATTTTCGGCCAATTTTCGTCGAAGGTTGGGATCTGAATAAGTGGGATCATCATCCTCGCTGAAAATGGAAGACATGAAAATGACTGTGCGCGGAATACATATCTATGGCATAATAAGTAGTATGTGAATGATTGGACAAAATTTACCTGAAAGCACAGGACCGGTTTCGCGATTCTTGCCGCGCGTCAGGTTGTGACGAAAATACACTTCCTAGGTACAAGTATGTGAACAAACTGACGAAAGATTAGCGGATACGCATGTCTGACGAACGGGAAGAACCGCGAAACCGGTCGTGTGCTTCCAGGAAAGTTCTGTTCAGTCATTCAAATACTACTTATTATGAAATATTCTATAAAGACGCTAAAGTCACCTTTGTTGCGGTTAGAAGCATCTAACCCATCTACAAAACACTGAAACATAGTATTGACTCTTCAATGAACTGGCTCCGAAAGAGCTGTCTATCCAAAAATCACCCGGTGTTGCACACAAGGTTATTGTTACGAATATATATATATATATATACAACGCGAACGTGCTATAATGCTTCAGATGTATTTACTACGAAGAGCGGAAGGATTCTTTAAATTCCAATGCACGCTTCAGTCAGTCGCGGCCCAGTCATGAGAACCGGAGATCTGATTGCTGGGACTTGGGTCACCGCACTACAAACGGCCCCTATGGGACAGGTTTGCTATGGAGCCCGGTAAAAATGAAGCTGTCTTACCCACAAGCGAGATTTCGAATCTCAGAACCCGCGGCACGCTAGTTACATTGGATTGAATCGAAAGTAAGAAGGTGCCAACCTACTTTTGGAAAACTGTTGTTTGTATTATTATAATTCACTGATTAATGATTATATTTAACTGTAAGTAAACCAGTAACGGCCGTATGAGAAATCGATCTTTCGGTGGCTCCCAGAATGAGCTAGAGGTTGCTCTTTTCACTTTGGAGTTACCAGTTCCGCCGTCGGCGTGCGAAACCGGGATAGTAGCACAAAGCGATTGGTACACCTCTGTTTATAGTTATTGGCAGTTAGATGCGAAGATATAAAAGCATGCATAAAGTAACCCGTTGAAACTGAACTAACCAACGCGTTTTTACACTCACAGACAAGATGACAAAATCCGACGCAACGTTCCACCTGCTGTGCTTACGTCTAAAACATCAGATTCGAATATCCGTCTGATTTTGGGTGAAAACGTGTTTCAAGAAAGGTTACTCGCGGTAAACAAAAGGTTTGGTTATCATCACCTCTTCCAGTCAACCAGACACTCAGAAGCATTAGACTCGAGTTTCGCTCCTATTAGAGCTTATCAGTAGAGCATATTCACCGTCTCAGCCAGGATTTGAACTCCAGACCCATTTGAGATACCACTGTGCCAACCGACTGATGCCAGGGCTAAACCGAAAAGCCAATTCACGTTTGCTCAAGTATCGTCTTCAGAAATAGTCAGTCGGTTTTATTTGACCGGACAGCAACGACAGGAGACACACTTGACTATTTGTTAACTGTAGTCGAACAAACGTGAATTGGTCATTTGGTTCAGACCTGGCATGAGTTGTTTGGCACAGTGGTAACACGCATTCCATCCGGTGGGATCGGAGTTCAAAGCCCGGGACGGGGAATACGCACAACTTCTAAGCTCTAATAAGAATGAAACTCGAGTCTGGTGCCTCGGAGTGAATGGCTGACTGGAAAAGGCTGAGGATAGTGCGTTAAGGTGAATTCCGAAGGAGGGTCAGTTCAAATCAATATAAATTATCCCACACCACTAGTCACAAGTAACTGTGAGTTAAATGTGAATTTATTTTGGGGTAGAGGCCATATCGGTTGTGGAAATTCAGAAATACATAATCAAGAGTTTGTAGTTTAGGATATGAGAATCTATCAGAACCTGGTTTAGCCACTGCACGATACACTGGAAGCAAAAAGTGCAAAAAAGTGGTGTTCCGCTTTGGCCGAAAAATGCTTACCTTCATAGAGAAAAAAACAGACAAACAACGCTTCCCGAGAACTTACCGCAACTCGTCCGTTAGATAACAGCCAAAATCATGCAATAGGTCAGCCTGACGACGTTTCTTCAACATGTGACCGACCTCGATGAAAACTTCCCGAGCTAAATCCATGACCGCTACGGGACTGAAATACAATATCGAAAAAAATGCATGAGAAATTTATTTTCTCCTCATTTGCGGAATGATAGTTCATCGAGAGAGAAAGAGCAAAACATAATTTGGGAAACAAGACCGATTTTGATGATCACCGAAAACTGCTGCAATATTCTTCCATGTGAGGATAATTCTCGAAATTCTGCATCGACCAGTTGTGAACACTAATTCACCAGTGTAGCGTCAAAAGCTGACACAGTCATGATGAACAGTACAATTTAAATGCGTCTAACCAACAGTTTTGACATAAATGTGGATCTGAATAATGGAGGAAGTGGTCGAATTATGATTTCGCTTAGATCGCAGTAGAGAGCCAATTACAGTAATACCGAGTGGAGAAGTGTCTGTCAGCTTGAAGTGTAAAACGATGCACCAGTTAAAAATGTGGGGCAGCTGTTTAATATTCGATAACAGGATGTTGACGGAAAATTCGGGAACAGTTGAGCGTTCCGGTGACCGTTTACAACCAATTTCAAGATCGGTCGACCGGCGGAAATCGAAACGTTAACTATTTACAAACTTTTTGGAGTTCTCAAACATTTACATGATGTGTCATCCTTTACAAATGGACCTGAATGGAACCTTCAAACACTCACCAGCGTAGCCAAAAATAAAACGGTTACCAAATTCATTTATGCAACAATACCGGGCAACAATGATGAGAGATTACGTATAAAATACCTCTATTATCAGGGTGATGAGTTTATGGTAGCGGTGTAAAAGATGCAGAGGCTAAAAATTATTACAAATGAAGCGACTGGTTGTAAACAACGAAAGACAGACTACGGTGAATTTTACGAGCTGGATCAACAAATTTGTAAAATATTCTCGCATGTCCATAACGACAAACTGTCATTAATTTTGTCACCATCGTATAGCACAAAATCTATTTATTACTACTATTATCTATTGAGTCCAGTGTGCCTGTCAAACAAACTACGATACAGTAATCTTTATAGGAAAGAAAACAGTTCATCGACAAAACAGTGCCAAGTTGGCAGATCAAAGCAGAGAATATAAGCCCAATCACTCCACACATTTGAAACGTACGCACAAACCACTGTTCTTTGGTCGAAGCTTTCCTTTCATGTATATCTGATTTTTTAGGTGTTGGTAAACCGATTGTTTCAAAGCTTCATTAAACGGCGAAATGCATTGAACCCAACTTCGCTGACAACTATCAACCTCATACTACACCAAAGTAATCATCATCATCATCATTTTACAGCGTAATACAGTGAAGCAAACTTGACCGATCGCTGCCAAACTCATAATGCATACGAGGTAAGTGAAATGTGTAAGGAGGATAGGGATTGGACTTAATTTTACAGATGGGAAAGGAAAGCAAACCTCTATGGTCAACACACAGAGTACACCGTTCAACTGTGCATACATAGTATTTCAAACAGTCTGGCCTGATAAGAAATGACAACTTGATCGCCATTGCTGTCAGTTCGCAGCCATGACCTTCAGTGTCCCCAACCATGAGGTTTCGGAGTCTTTCGAAACGCATCCCGGAATACGAGAGACACCTACTCTACCTACTCTGTGCATTTCTTCATGCTTCGTCTCCACGTAATCTGCTGGCCCCAACACGGCTTTCTCCAACCTGCAACAGCCACTGCAAATAAGGCGCGCTGCGGTAGGCGATCATCGGACAGCCGAAAAACTTGTCCTAACCAACGGAGCCTATTAAGCTGAATTCGGTGCGATAGTCAGTTCTTGTTCCATGCATTCTCAAATGCCCGACAACTTACTTCTCACTTACTAACCCGCTCACTCCATCCCACTTGGGCCAGACTACGTAAGCATCGATTGTCGAAAACTACTAGGAGACGGATGCCTTCGACCCGCAAATTCAAGGTCTCACAACCGTAAAACCGAACTGATCGTACAGTGGCACAGCAAACGCGACTTTAAAACTTCAATGAAACATTACGTCGTCGCCACGGGTGTTTTAGTCCTGCGTAAGCTTCTCGAGTCTTGGAAATGCGGGCGATTATCTCCTTTGATGCGCTACCGTCGTTTGTCATGCAGCTACCTAAGTACGAGAAGCAGTCAACTACATCGAGTTCCTGACCGTCTAGTTTCAGAGCAGAAATCCGCGACACCCAGTCTTGTAGCATCACTTTGCACTGTGAAGGTGCCAAGCAAATGCCGAACGGAGCGACTGAACTTGGTAATCTGTCAAGTGGTCTTGGTACATCCTCCAGACATTCGAACAAGCAAACGATGTGGTCAGCGTATTCCAAATCGCACAGCCTTTCTTCAGCTGCTCATTCAATACCTACATTTTGGAGACTGTTAGGTAAAAAGACTATTTTTACCCAAAGCTGCCTATTTTTCGAGTATTTTCAATTAGGGGCATCTCGAATCAATACTAATCTCGCGGAGATTAATCAATGGTATTGCGTCATACGGAAACATTCACTCCGTCCGTCTGGTCCGTGACCTATGACCGACTGAACTTTGCTAACTGTGTACTTGATTGGCACAATCTTTTT